AAATCGGTTTGTTTGTTTCAGATGTTTTGAAAAGTGTCTGTGAGGTCCCCTGGCCATGGACGTTTCTAGTGGTGAAGCAGCAGGACTAAATTCTGGGTCCATCCATCATCCATCCACCCACCCACAATGCACTGACCTGTCTACCCACACGACACATATTTGTTGTTTGTGCAGATCCTGAGGTAGACACGGGATGCAGTGACCCTGGAGATCCAGGATCACCCCTGCAGGCTCTCAGCTTGTTTTTCCCCATAGTAGACAGCTGCAAAGAATGACCTTTTAAATACTTTGCCTCCTTCCTAGCGGAATTCCCAGTGCAACAAGCTGGTGATTCTGAGAAGAAACACAGCGGCCAACACGCCCTCCTTACAGTTGGGAGGTAAATCTTCCTGCTAGGGGTCTTGAAAATAACGCGGGCTGTGAGCCAACCCGCAGCCCCGTGCACTTTCACAGGGACGTTGGGGAGTGAGGTGTGTGTGGGTTTAGTTGAGGGCTGCAGGTGGGACCTGATCGGTCATGTGGGAGTCATCTGGGATGGGAAATGAATGGCCTTGTTTGGGTCAGGGCTGATGCTTCGCACCCTGTCTGTCGGGGTGGGGAGATGGCAGATAAGGTTGACAGGAGGGTGGGGAATGGGACCCTCCTGTTTCTGTCACAGCCTAAGGCGCTGTTCTCCCCTCGGCCGCCAGAGGGAGCGCTTAAATGTGTAAGGTCCCCGCACAGTATCCTGCCTCCAGCCGAGGTGCTGAGGTCTGGGTTGCCCTAAAGCAAACCCCAAAGTCTGTGCTGCTTCAGTTTCCTTGTGATTGTATCACTGTAGGAAATTATCTTGGATTTTTACTCCTCTTCTAGACTGAGCTCAGAAAACTTGATTATACTGTTCATCCAATTGCCAGCTCCTAAAACTGAACCTGGCACAAACAGGTGCTCTATCAGTTTCCTTTGGCTACTGTTGAAAATGCCCAAAATTCGGTGGTTTAAAACCATGCCAGATTTATTACTTTGTATCCTGTATCTGGTCCTTCCAGCAGCTCCCCGGGGGGGAGGGGGGAGCCCATTCTCCTGCCATCCCCAGCTTGTGGGGGCCTCCTTGGCTGTCAGCTGTTCCATTATTAAAGTCAGCAAATCTCCTCTCCGTAGGGACCCCTGCCTCCCTCATCACTTATTAGGACTCTAGGATGACATCTCCCACCTCAAGCTCCTTAACGGTCTCACCTGCAGAATCTTTCTTCACCTGTTAGGTGACACACTTGCAGATTCCAGGGTTTAGGATGTGGACATCTTTGGAGATGGGGGGGGCAGGGAGCATTATTTTTACTGAATAACTGCAGGAGTGACAGACACACTGTCATATCTCCCAGGCCTCAGGAACTTCTCCTTTGCTTTTTCCCAGACAGAGGGAGGAGGCGCTGACAGGATAGGGCGGTCTGGACTGGGAGCATCCAGCTCATCCCCACCTGGGGTTCGACTTCCAACTCACTCACTCACTAGCTGTCCACTCTTACTGCTGCTTGGTGTCCCCCTCGGATGGTGACGAAACTGGCTCTCGTTGATTGACACACCGCTGTGTGACCTGGATTAAAAATCCAGCCCTGGTTTGTACCTGCTGTGTGACCTGAGGCAGAGGTGGAGCCTCTTGATCTCCTCGCTGGGGAGGTGCGGGCGGTGCAGCCCGAGCGCGGCATGCTCTGTGCAGAGGGCCCTGTGTGGCGGGTGCCGGCGCGACCCGCCGAGAGCTGCCGGCGCGCTTACTCTGAGGCCGCTTGGCCATAACTCCCGACAGGAAGAAGGGTTTTTCCTTCTCGTTTATTTCCTCCCCTTCCTGTTTAGTCATCACTGTCACCGGTGTCACGGTATGCTTGCCCCGCGCCTGGCTTCCCTGTCGGCCTGAGGTTAGTCAGCAGGTCAGAGCCTGCGTTTTCCACATTAAACCCTGGTAGCAAGGTTGCTTTACTGATGTCATTTCTTCTGCCCAGGTTTGTCTCCCTGGCTGTCGAGGTGGTTTCCAAGTCAGGGCGCGAGACCTGTCCCCTCTTACAGACAGGCCACCGCTAGCGGGCAGGAGCCTCTGGACAGCGAGGCTCTCGGAGGAAGGAAGCAGCCTCTGTCCGCGGCTCTCTCGCCCTTCCCGCGCTCTGCGGTCGGAGGCCTCTAAGCAGCGTCTGCCGTTCTGCCCAAGACTGAGGGCACCAGGGATGCACCAGCTTGTGCCTCCGTGTCTGCACGACTCGTTATCAGAAAATTAGGGTAGAATAGGAGCTTTTGTTCTGCTGTGGAGACATCTTAATAGGCACTTTGATTGTTAAACAGAAGTTTCTGTATCAGTTTAATTGCAGTAAATGTTGTTTGCCGCCTCTGTTATGATAAGGCCTGGGTTTTCATAGGTTCCCCCCTTCTCTTTCAACAGTTTGCCTTTGCTTTACGTCTCCCATTGGCAAATTTAATGAAATCCAAGCGAAGACATTAAAAAGAGGATCTCAGAGTTCAAACCTTCACGCCCACGTTTCAAGCTGTGTGGAGTTATTATTGCTGAGGCCTAATGATGTTGCAGGCGCTAAGTGTGATTGACAGAACTCACCTCTGCAGCCAGATACGGGGAAATGAAGCCAAACTACGAAACTTAATTACATCGGCTTTTTTTGAAAGGGGCTGTAATTGAGAATAACAGAATAATGAGCAGATGAATCTAACAGAGATGTGCTTATAATAAAAGAGGATTTGCTCTCTGCTGACTTGAGCTTCCGAAGGCCCATATTTCGGGGCCGGGGGGTGCTGGGGGCAGGAGGAGGTGGCTGCAGAATTGAAAGCCACCTGCATCGGGGCTTCTGGCCGTGGCGCTGTTGGTGGCGTGGGCTGCGATCCTAAGATGCAGCGTGTCCTGTGCTGGGCAGGCCCTGTCTCTGGCATTAGGTGCCAGGAGTACCCTTCCCCCCGGCCCCAGCATGACATCCAAACAATACCTCCATACATTGCCAGTGTTCCCTGGGGGACAAAAGTTCCCCGGTTGAGAGCCTGTGCGGGGGCTTTGGGAAGACTTGTGAAGGGTTGCAGTTGCTAGAGGGTCTGCTGGTAGGTGGCTGTGTGACCCTGAGCGAGGCCCCACACCTCTCTGAGCTTCTGTCTCCCTGTGTACCGTGGGGAGAACGGCGCAGAGGCCTCGTCTCTGGGAACTGCAGTCTGGGCTAACACGCGTCGAATGGCTGATAAGCCCCTCGGCTCTGGCAAGCACCTCGAAGTCCTTGTTCCCCCAAGCACAGTGCCGCGATGCAGCTGGCCCCAAAGGAGACACACGCTTGCACACTTGCTGGCACTGCTTCGCTAGCCTGTCCGGACACTGCTCACCGGCCCCGGCCGCTGGCCGGCCGAGGGCCCTTTCTGGTGACCCGGGGTGAGCGCCCCCGGCCGCTCGGAGCGTGGTGGATTTCCCACAGGGGGTTCTGTGCCCAGCACCCCTTCCTCTCCGCACTACGCCCCACCCCCCACCCCTGCAGTGGAGAGAGCCCTCCAAGCAGCTGGCAGTAGCGTCCCCAAATCTAGCTTCAGTCCTCGAAGAAGATAGGAGGGGAAGCAAAGAGCTTTCTCTCTCTCTCTCTCTCTAAAATTTGTTTCTTTCTTGGCTTTGGTTTTTTTTTTTTTTTTTGGTTTCCTCAGAAATTGAGCTGAGATGAGTTGTAAAATAGCTTGCACTTATGACATCTAGTTTTTAGTTAAACTAAAAGAAATTCTACTGTCTGTGTTTCAGACTGACCTATCATTCTGTCTCCTTGTTGGTTTTCGCTGCCCTTGGGGACATCAGCTTCCCAGAAGGGCCCCTATTTCATGAGTGCAGTACTGGGGACTCTGGAGCAGCTTTCAGGTGCCTGCAGACAGCCGTTAGCCAGAAGAGGGGCGTCAGTGGGTTGAGGTTCAACGTTCCCTGAGTAGTTCAGCCTGCCTGCCCCCCCGCCCCAGTGAGCCCCACTCCCAAACAGTTGCTGTGATAAGCCAGCCGTGTATTTGCAACGCTGGAAATGGGAGTTGCTCCATCCATCTGGCCTGAGAAATGAGAGCCGGTGGGGATCAGCCGCCTCTTTCCTCCCTCACTGGCGGAGAAGTCACGGGCTGCGCTAGTCACTCCTGCTGCTCTTTCACGCCTCTCGGCCGTGAGGTCTGCGAGGAGGGTGACGTAGGCGGGAAGGTGAGGGCTGGAGCCCTGGGACTCAGTTGTGGGCGGGGGCGTGGATAGTGTGGGTGCAGGAATTTAATGTCAGGGGGAAAGGCCAGGTGTGCACCCCATCTGAATTGGTGTGACGTGTGGTCTCTTCCTCATTCTCCTTAATCCACCCGCCGCTCCTTACTCCGCTTACCTGTCTGTCCTCTGCCGACTCGTGTGTCCGTCCACCTGTCCATCCCACCCAAAGGCTGATTCATCCACGCACCTCCCCACCGACTGAGTTTGGATGGCACATGCCACAGTCAGCTAAATTTCTGGAAAGTGATGTTAGAACTTGCTTTTAAAATTAATGTATTTAAAGAAAATCAACGTAAAGTAGTAAGTCAGTCACCCCGTGCCGTACAGGGGTGTAACAGAACGAGCCCAGAGCTGCTTGCATGGCCAGCTGGCACGTGGGCAGCAGGCAGACTCAGGCCCGCGAGGCCCTCGCGCTGCGCTCAGCTGCTGGCAGCACAGCCTGCCTTCCCCGCCGGCCTGAAGGCGGGGTGCCCACCACCCCTTCCTTGGAGCTGTACGAGCCAAGGTGTGTGAGTCCCTTTGCCGGTGCCTGGCAGACACCGAGTGCCCTGTGTCGGAAGTGACCTCCGTGTGTCCTTCCACAGCTGGCTTCTCCAGGCCGCTCTGGATGCCCCGCCCAGGGGACCTGGTTAGATAGCACATCCCAGAGCAGCGGTCTGCTCGGCTTGGCGTGGCACTGCTGGCAGTCAGCGGCCTCCCTGGGAGCCTCTCTGGAGGGGACTCGGCCCCCGGCCCTCGGTAACAGGCGCTCCCTCTTCTCTCCCCGCAGACACGCTGTCAGTGCCGCGATGGTCCCCGCAGATCCCGCGCAGAGACCTCGGCAACTCCATCAAGCACAGGTAGGGTGGATGCTGCGCAGGCCAGGGCGGCGTCCTCTGGGGTGGGGACGGGCTGGGCCCCGTTTCACCTGACCCCGGGTCACCGCCTCTTCTGCCGCAGAGCCTGGCGCGGCCCAGGCGGCGGTGATGCCTGCCTCACACTCGCTGGTCCTCAGAACCAGCACGCCGGGGAAGAGCCGGGTCTTAGTGCGGCCGGCCTCGTTGCAGTCCCGGCTGTGAGAGCTCTGCGGCCTCGAGGAAACCTGAACGAGGCTCCGCTTTCTCGTCAGGTGACTGTGCCTGCCCTCAGGGAGGCGTGAAGATTCAGTGAGGTCTTGTGTGTCAACTTCCAGGCACGTCGTAACCATTCAGCGTTACGAGGACAGACACTGAAGGTCCTAATTTGGAACTGCAGGCCGAGCTCCAAGATGCTCACTCTGCTGAGGGTGGGTCTGTCAGGCCCCGGGACACCCCTTTCCAGGGGTACAGCCGCCCTGTGCAAGAGGGACGTGGGGTGCACCAGTCACACCCATTTCCTCTCACGACCTCTCAGCTCCTCGGGAGGCAAGTGGAGCGCACGTGGCCGTCGCCTGGGGCGGGAAGGGAGCGGAGGCCCTGGGTCCCTGGGTCTTCGACACGGCCACGCCGTCTCCTTCCCACGGAGGCCTTGGACGTGCTGAGGGCATGGTCACTCACACACGCGTCCTTTCTGCTCCTCGCTGTGGAGACTGCCTGTGCCACAGTTGCAGCGCAGGGCAAGACCCAAGGCCCTTCTCCTCCAGGCAGGTTGAGTTGGCAGCCCCGGCAGGGGGAGGGGCCGGGGGGGGGTGGCCTGGCGTAGCTGCGGCCAGGTGGGTGGGCACTCCTCAGCTGCTGTGGAAGAAGTAAGCTGACAAAGCAGTTCAGACTCAAATGAGAAAATGTCTGAGGAAGGAGTGAGCACCAGCAGCAGACAAGTCAGTGGCCAGGCGGTGAGATGCAGAGAAAGGCGCCAAAAAGAAGGGCCTCTGTGGGCTGCCCCCCCCCAGGGCCCCTTGGGCCAGCTCCCCCACTGCATTGGGCTTGTCCTGATGCGCACCCCCGGATTGGCCACCCCGGCTCAGTGGCACCCCACCACCGCCTAGGGCCCCTTGGGTTGGCCCCGCTTCTGGCTCAGCCCCTCCCCGGGTTCACACGGTCCCTCTTCTGGCTCAGCCTTTGGCTCAGCACTGCCCCCAGCTTTCCTGTCACTCTGGTGTTGGACCTGGTGGAATTTCACACTCCAGTGGTGATGGCCACAGGAGGTAAGGAGCCGGTGATCCTGTGCCCTCAGCCACCCTAGAGAGCTGGCACTGGAGGGCGGTGGCCCTTCGGGCTGGCCCTGGGCTCTGTGTAAGGGGGAGAGACCTGGGCGGCTGTCCCCACCCTCTCAGCGTCCCCTGGGGGAGAGGGGCAGCTGATCCTGGGGCAGGAGAGGGCCGGACAGGAGAGGGCTCCCGCCTGCCGCTCACACTGCCCGCCTGTCCTCGGCTGTGGACGGTGTGGGAGACCGAAGCCTGTTTGCCACCCCAGAAGACCCAAAGCCTGTAGCGTGGCCTCTGCTGACGGGGCAGAGGGGGCTTAGCCAGCCCTAGCCCCAGACCGGAGGGGTTTTCGAGGCTTCTGAGTCTGTTCAGAGTATGGCTGTTGCCTTGGGGGGCTCCGGGCTGCAGCTCTCTCCATCTCGAGTGTCTGACCCAGATCAGACAAGGCGGCGCAGCACGCAGGCACCCTTCGCGCGGATTCTCAGGCACCAAGTTACATAATCACTTCTGATTTTCATTTTGACACTGAGGCAGTGGAGATTAGATACAAGTCCTGCTGAAGGTACCAGAAATTGAAAATGAAAATTAACTCTGACCCGGCAACCTTCACTACTTCCCTCGGGCCAGCCCTGCTGCTGCCGGCGCTCTTAGGGAAGGCAGTGCCGGGTGGGGGTGTTGGAGGTTAATCGAATGGACCTGTGTTCCTGGTGACAGACCAGAGGCCTCCAGACTGCCTCTGTTAGTAGCAAGTGGCGGTGGACGGGGCAGGAGGTGAGCTGATGGCCTGGAAAAGCTTTAGGGAGCTCTTCTCGGATACGGAAGCGTGGAGCTCAGCTGTTTGGGGGTGGAGAGGGTGCTCTTGAGCTTCCCCGGTGATGGGGATAGCTCAGCTGGACTGCAAGGGGACAGCGCCTGTTCAGTGGCCTCCGAGAGCAGGCCCAGCCCCCAGGCCGCGTTGCGTGCTGAGGCATGATGGCTCCCGGGACTGTCCAGGCCTCACCGTTCAGCGACTCTGTCCTCCGTGCCAGGCGCTGTGTGGAACCCTTGGTGTTCTTAACTTCATTTCATCTTCCCAGCAGCCTCTGGGGTGGACTCCATTATTATCCCCACTTCGCAGAAGAGGAGTCTGAGGTGCTCGCTGAGGCTCAGTGAAGTCCCAAACCTCGGTCGTGGTGGGACTGGACTCTGTGCCCATGTGTTAACAGCCCTTGAGGGCCCCCATGGGGAGGGCAGTTGCCATCACCTTGCCCTGACCATCTCTATCTCTCCCTCAGGTTTTCCACCAAGTACTGGATGTCTCAGACATGCACGGTCTGCGGCAAAGGGATGCTGTTTGGCCTCAAGTGTAAAAACTGCAAGTAAGTGGCTGTGCCTGGAAGCAGCTTTTCACGGAGCCTGTTGTCCCGCCATCCTGGGCTCTGAGAGAGCTTATGGCAGGGTGGCTTCGTGGCTCTCTGGAGACTTGCATGCTCTGTTCCTCAGGAATGTCTTAGATGAGCACCTGAACTTGAGCAAAAGGTCCAGGAGAGCAGTTCTGAAAAAGAACCAGCTGATTGTGATGCTGGGGCTGCATAAAGCTATCTGAGGCAGAGTGACAGCCTGCATTTCCCTAATTATTACTGTGGAGCAACATTTTTTTAAAGTTTTATTTATTGATGCATACAGAACTGGGGTATAGGCCAGAGGCTCAGGGGTGGTGAGAGGGTTCACTGGAGACAGAGTGGGGAGCAGAACAGGTAGATGGACAAAGTGCACTGCTGAGGGAGCAGTGGGCAGGTCAGGAGAGGTCTGCCGTGCCATGTGGGTCAGCTCTGGGGCGAGGATCAAACTCGTGGCTGCAGCCAGCTTGTAGTGCTGCGTCCTAACCCTTTGCACCACCGGGGAGGGTCTGGATTGACATGCTTTTTTCTTGAGTTGACCAGTTACGAAGTATTTTAGGCTCTGCGGGCCAGGGGGTATTGGTTTCAACTACTCAGCTCTGCAGTGTACCTCAGAAGCAGACACGGACAGTATCTGTACACGTGCGTGGGGTGCACTTGTTTATGCCTTTGAGATCTTACTTACAGAAACGGGCTGTAGGCTTGGCTTTGGCCCTGGCTAGTTGGCCCACCCTTGAGTTAAAGTTTGCCAAGTCCTTTTCTCCTTTGTCTTGCCTTCTCATTCTACCTCTCTGTGGGGTGGAGGCTAGGATTCCCGCCCCACACCCCCAGTTTACAGATGTGAGAACGAGTGTTAAAAGAGGGACCAGTTGCCCACCTGGGCCACGCCTGCAGTGGCCGTCAGGACCGGAGCCCTGAGCCTCGCGCTCTGTCCTGTCTGTGGCACCGCGTCGGTCTCAAGGCCTTCCAGGCCGCAGCATGTGGACAAGGGCAGGAGCCCTCGTGGGCCCTGGAGTCAGGCTGAGATGGGCTTGACCCGGCCCTGCGCTTCGGGCCGTGACGGTGGCCGCCGCCTCACCTTGCCGTTGGCGCTCTGGGCTGCTCCGCCTCCTCCACGCAGGCTCTGACTTGTGTCCTCCGCCAGAAGCTGCCAGCGTCTTGCCGGCCTTCCCTCTCCCTCCGCGAACGGGCACTGAATATCCCTCTGGTCCAGTCACTGTCACATTGGCAGTCACTTTCAGTTGTCTAAGATTACAGACGAATGTGTGTTTGCTTGCTAGGAGCCCCTTCTTGTCCCGCCCAGGAGGGGCCCTCTCATTTGGGTCCCTTTAGGCCTCCCTCTGCCCCAGGATGGGGGAGAGCGGCAGGGCAGTGCTCACCCCTAGCCTGGATGCCTCTCGCCTGGGTAACGAAGGTAAGGCTGGGCGGGCCCTGGAGTTGCGGGACTCATTCATTCCCAAGGAGTCTTGAGCCCCACAGCATAAGGAGAGGCGGCAGCCGTAATTACCCAGCACTGGTACTTGGGGGCCCGTGTCCCCCACTCCATCCTTCACAGACCCAGCTCCTCTCAGGCAGCCCGGGTGGCGGACCCTGTTCCTTCTGACCGCAGAGGGCACAGACGGGTCCTTGGTCCGAGCTGAAGCTGCCCGATGTCCCTGCACACTGCTGCCCCAGGCCGTCTCAGCAGGGCGTCTCATGCCACGGTCAGGTGTGGGAAGCCCGCACCTGCCGAGTGAGGGCTTTGAAGTCAGGTAGTGGGTGGTGGGGACATGGGAGCTGCAAGGCCCGGCACCCCACGCCGTGACAGTTCCAGCAGTACGGGCCGAGCCCCGCGTGGCTTGCTCCTGCTTTCTGTCCTGAAGTGATGAGCAGAGGTGCAGGCCCTGCCCAGGCGGTCACCCCCAGCAGGCAGCGCGCTCTGAAACGCGGGCGCTGGGTGTGAGTCTCAGACACAGCCCGTGTCACCTGGGGCCTCCGTCGCCTGGCTGCCTCTGGGTGCAGCCCGCGTCCCCCGCTGGGCCGTGGGAAGGAGCCAGGAGCCAGCAACGTGCTCGCCCCAGATGCCAGGGCTTCCTCCGCGTGTGCGGAAGCGGCTGCTGCACGGCAGCCGCGGAGGTGGGACCAGGGTGTGGCTGGATCCGACCGTGGGTTTCACCGACTTGCTCAGCCGTGGGAAGACTGCCGGAGCGGCCGGAGCAGAGCCGCAGTGGCTGCGGCCTTCGGGCAGCGTCAGGGAGTCTGGCGGCGGGCGGCGTGAGCTGAGCCTGGCTTTGTCTCCAGCGTGCGGCTGAGAGCGCCGAGGGTGTCGCCCACTGGTGTTGAGCTTGCTCCTCTGTGAGTCGAGTCCTGTAGCGTTTGCATAGTTACGCGAGGCTGGGTGGCCCTTGCGCAGGCTTCCAAAAACTGGCCCGGATTGGGGCGGATGGATAGGCCGACCAGAGGCTTAGGCGAACAGGACTGGGGAACACACAGACCCCAAGTTCGAGGAGCCTGGAGGAAGACACAGCTACAGAGAAATGAGTGGGAAACTCAAGCACCGGCATGAAGAGCAGCGCAGGGGAAATTTCAGAGGGGGGCCCCAAGGCCAGGGCAGCAGCTTCTTGGGGAAAACATTCACTTACTCCCAAGTGTTACTGGCATCCGCAGTGCACTGGGCACTGTTCTGGCTAGAGGGGAAGAACAGTGAAGGAGGCAGACAAAGCCCTGCCCTCGTGGGCTTACAGGCTGGCGAGGCGGGCAGCAGACAAGCAGCAGAAGTGTATTAGTGAAGCAGAGCATCTGTCCACATAGTGCTAAGTACCAAGGAGAAGAACAAAAGAGAAGAGAAACTAGAGCCAGAGAAGGGGCTGCTGTTTGAACCAGAGTGTGCAGACAGCTTTGGAAATTGGTCCAGGTAATCTCCTGCTGTCCTGAAGCACCCCAGAGACGTGGGTGTGAAGCTGCCCTGAGCGAGCGATCCTGAGGGAAGCTCCTGGGTGCTGCTGGTTCCACAAAACACCTGGGTGGCTCAGGACCAGCGGCCTCAGCGTCACCTGCGTCAACTGGGCTGGCTGGGCCCCAGGTGAGCCAGATCTGACGCTGTGCTTATAGACTGTCCTGGGATTCCAGCTCAGGTTCAAGGGAGAGAAACACTGCTCCAGGGAGCTCCAAACCCCTTTTTGTGGCAGATTTTGTTTTCAGACTGTGTCTCTCCACGTTGAGTGTGTGTGAGAATTCCCTGAGGGTGACTCACACACAGGTTCCCTGGGCCCAGCCTGCAGGCTGTGATGCAGCAGGTCTGGGAGTGGCGGCCACCCAGAACCTTCCTCACAGGTCCCCAGGTGACGCCTGTGCAGCTTGGTCCCAGGACCCCGCTCTGCAGCAGAGTAGAGGTTTGACAAAAGCAAGCTTCACTTCCAGCCTGACACCCAGCCTCATACTGTCACTAGGTGGCTCATTCAGGCTCTTTGCTGTGACGCCCCTTGGCCACCCTCTGTAGACACAAATCTTGGTCGTCATTGTGTCTTCAGCAAATTCATAGGAACCCGGCTGTCAGTCACACACTGCAGGGTGAGTGACACTCAGGCTTCTACCCTTGCCGGCCTCTGTGGTTGCCACCTGCAGTCTGGAATGCAGAAGGGGCTTGACAATGTGGCTCTTGGGCACACGCGCCCGGTTGTGGACACCTGGAGCACGGTGTGGGCACGTGTAAGTGGGCACACCTGAGCCTGGAGGCCGAGGCCAGGGGTTGTGTCACTCGGAGCTGGCGGTAGGCTACGGGGAGCAGCTGCCAGAAGGCACCAGGGAGGGCCAAGGAGAAAGTAGGGCTTTCCCGGGCCTGGGAGGCCTCCGAGCTCCCCGCCTCTGGCCGGTTCGCCCTGTCCGCCTCTGGCTTGCCCCCCACAACTGGCGTAGAGAAGCACGCGGAAAGCCGCTCAGAGATCCGGGACCTCCGTTATCTGCTGCCTGAATCAGCAGAGAACCTGCCCTGTGCAGGCTTGCAAATGCACACACACATCGCGCACACAGTCCATAGTTTAATCCAGACTCCGCTGCTGATTGGTTGAATGATCACTTCTGAACCGATTTCTTCCTCTGTAGAACAGGAAAAATAATAACCTACTTCACCAGGTTGTTTAAAAACAATAAGGGACACCAGTCAGTAAGGTAAAATGCTCAGCCTGGTATCTGGCCCAGCACTAGAGCTTAGTAGTTGAAAGTGAATACTGTTACTTTATGAATTAATTTGGGGGTCCCTGCTCCACCAGGAAGCAAGCATGCTGCCTGTCTAACCCCCTTCCCTCCTGCTTGGGTTTAATGCCCACTTCCTCCGGAATGATCATCAGCTGTCTTGTTGGCGCTCTGAATAGGGAGATTAATGAACTAATGGGAAATTATGCTCAGAAGGCAATTTGCAGTTATCTAAATCGAGGCGTTTTCATCTAATAGGTTTGTGAGCGCAGGATGGAGTTGAGTTCTCAGTGGCAGGATGCCAGCACGGTCCGTGCGTTGTCTGATGACTGCGGACTCAGCTGGCTGAAGTTAGCTTTGCAGTCAGATGCCGGAGGATTTCCCGGCCCTCATCCTTGCTGTTTGCATCCTTCCTCCTCCTCACAGTTCTCCGGCAGAGCTGAGGTCTGGTTCCTTGGAAGCCTCGTCAGTGCTATCTGCATGTCTTGCAGGAGAGTGCACAGCAGTGTTTTGGGTGACTTGTGCTCTAAAGAAACAAGGGTGCTTATTTTCCTGCCAGCGCAGGAGTATGGAAGGGAGGGGGCGTCTTGCACACCTCCCGTGGAGAAGCAGCATGCTAACACTTGCTCGTGCTAACACGTGCTCGTGCTTGCCCCACCCCACACCCTCCTTTTATAGACGGTCCTGGTTAGGTCCATCGCCCCGCCTGACATTTACCACTTGGAGGATTCTCCGCCACCATTTGAGGCACAGAGGTGAAAAAGACCAGGTTGCTGTCCTCAAGGGCCTCACTTCAGACAAGCCCAGGC